TCAAGCAAAAACAGAGCAACCTGAATGTCGGACTGGAAGCCCTTCTGCCGCCGGAGTTCTCGCCATCGTTCAAAAGCTTTGCTACCGATGTAAATTCGGAACTTCGCACATTCTTTATCCGACTCCTTCTTCTTTTTAATTTGTTCCTCAGAACGACGTCTCTTTGGTCGTGTGTCTGTAATTTTTCAAACTTCCCTCTGATGCTTCGCTGCTCTCCTTCACACACACACACCCTTCATGTGTGCACGCACTAACCCCCCAGACCCACCCTCAAATACTTTGCCAGTGATTGGCTGGAACACTGTTTGTATATTGTTTTTGTTGCCGTTTGTGGAGCCTGTGGTGTCTACAGAGACCGCGTTTTTTTACAGTGTGTTTAGGGGACAGGCAGCTAACCGATAGTGAGGAGACGTTTGATGTATGTGACAAAAAATGTTTTGGCCCAGCATCGCTTAGAGAACCTTTAAAGGCAAAAGCCGGATTCGAACTCGGGTCGAACGCGTCAAAATTTGCTATCAAGCACCTCACGCCCTCGCCCTACGCCACTGTAGATATTTCGTGAAGGATATCTTTTTTGCTAAAAAGACAGGCACGTAGTGCCAATGTACGCTCTCAACTCACGTTCAAGGTCATAGGCAGCGCAGCGTCTCTCTGTGCATCGCAAAAGCCCGTGTTGACAGTTTGTTAATATAAAGCGGGAGATTACCAGATATAGTATTTTGCTCGTGCCCTGTGGGTGTTGTAGCCTAGGCAACTGTATCACGTGCCGTTTGAACTGACGCGAGTGCGTTCTGTCACATTTAAAAGCGCCAAAACGCTCCATATCAGGAGTAAACTTCTCTAGTCTGTTGGTGTCAGTGTAATCTTTTTCCTCGATTTTTCTCTGCGTCCAATCAGTAGCCTGAACTTGCTTATAGTAATACAAAAAAATACAGCACAGAAGAATGTCTAATTTAGCGTGAGATTTCTATGTTGAGCGTGAGACCGTGAGATTGAGGCTGAATGCGTGTCACGCCAGATGCGTGAGAGTTGGCAACCCTGCGCCTCCGTGATCGCAACAGATGGATTTCGCGAGCAATTAAGTAGCTACCAATTAAGTACGGGAATCTTAAAATCAACAAGAGGTTTGAACATCTTCCTTTCTTCTGCCGCTGTGGTAAGTCACATTTTTCTACCCTTTCGAAAAGTGTTGAGAAAATGTTGTTTGCATTGTTACGGGTCGGAAAGCCCTTTGTTTAGTCCAAAACTAAAACGTGAGGACACGATAACGGCCGTGGCGCGCAGATAAAAGAGTGTAATAGATTTTAAAGATATACTTGTTTGCTTAAGAGAAAAGAAATGAAACCTAAAATTGGAATAACATCTTCCAAATGATTTTCGGGTAGCCTTAACGTTACTTGAGGAGCTATAAAACAAACTTGCATGTCTAGCGTCATGTTGTAGTGGCTTTGTGGAAACAAACCAGCTAACGTGAAGAGAATCGACAAACAACAGAAATACAAATCAGTTTGTAAACGATCGGAAACACTTGATTTTATAAATGAGGCAGATCGATGTATTGTTTATGATAAAGCAAAATTTATATTGCATTTGAAAGTATCCACTGTAAAACAGATGGGATTAAAAAGCAATAATACAATAGTTTGTATTTTCAAATTTGGAGTTGTGCTTCACAATGTAACGCACTCATAGAACACACTGTATAGTTGTTGTGCTACTCTACGTGAACATAGGCTAATGTAAGTTTATTCTTTAAACACAGGATTGCTTTACTGTAAGTGTTTTGGAACACTTAGGTAAAGGCTGTTGATGTATTCAAGGCCATATGTATCCTGTGAACTGAATTAAACACGTGTGTGTATCTATGCTGAATGTGGTTATAATGTGATTCACAATGCTCATTAATTCTTGAAAATTTTGAGCAGAAACTGAACGGGCAAATCATTAATCCTAAAACAAAAACCTTTTTATATTCAAAGCTTCAGGGAAAGAAATTTCCCCCAAATATAAATCGGAAAATGTATAAAGATTCTGTCCTGTTTACACTATGGGCCGAAAAGGTCGCGCATACACTGCATAAACTCAGTAAAAAAAGGTCTTAACATGGATGCTATTGACAGTGAAATTCTCACTTGGTGGGAACCAGTGGGTAGCAAGCAGAAGAAATCAAAACATGATAAAATAATTGAAGCTTTAAACTTCATAAGTTATAAACGGCTGGATAAGTCAACAACATTTCTATCTTCGCTTATAGATGCTAAATGTGAAGAAGTGCATTCTAAAAGTGCAGAGGCAAAATTGTCTGAGGAAAAGATCCAAGATCTTCAAACATAGCTAGATAAATTACTAGCTGAGCAGTTAGCCCTGACTGAAAAGTGTAAAAATCACAAACACACCATTGCAGATCTTAAGGCTAAACTAATTGTTGAAAAGTCCATTTCTCCCAAAACGCTCAACAGCGATGGGACTAAAAATGTGCGCTTCTTAAACGAGTTAGCCTGCTCTAATAACCCTGTACCTTTTCAGACAGATGAAGCATGCGATAAAGTTTTGAACGAGGTGTTTGTTTCAGCCTTTAAGGTGATACGGCACCCAAACAGCACAGAGTCAACCATTCGGCGTCCTCTTACGGTAACTGAATGTAGCTCGTTTAAAGCAGAGATCGGACCATTCCCTTTGAAAGGGCCATTCGAACCATGGTGGAGACACGTTGTTAGCCTAAAACATGCATTTCAGCTTGAACCAAAAGATATTTGGCTAATTGTTATCAGCTCAATTCCAGATGTCCTGAACTATAAGATACCACCGGCTTTGATGACAGGCACCATTGTGCAGTCAATGCATCAAAATGAGCCTGAGAGTGGAATCTTTAATAGATTAAAACAATGTCTGCGCGATCTACGTGGTTGTAGTCCTGTTGGATGGGAACTGATTCTCAATCGGAAACAGGGTACTGAAGAATCGTTTGAGACGTGCAGAGAAAATGTTTGAACTGTTTGAGGAGTATTCTGGAATTGAGGGTGTCAACCACAACAATGTAACTCTCCTTGACTTACTACTTACAAATGCAGGCCGCGTGTACAGCAATCGCTAATGTATGGTGCTTCTCCAGCAAAAAATACATTCGAAGGTATTGTTAGCTGGGCAACAAGAATTGAGTCATGAAAACAAATACATGGTGAGGTAGCTGTGTTAGAATGTCATGAAAATCCCTCATTTGAAGGAGAATTCAGAAAGCCACACGGTGGCAAACTGAGCAGATTCTGTAATTCCTGTCACAAAACAGGTCATACAGAGGAAAAGTGCTGGTCGTTGGGCAGAGGCAGACCTCCTCTCTATTTCAAAAAACGCAGATGACCACCCTCTGATGGCACAAACCAGCGCCCTGCAAGGAACCAAAGCTCAAATGCATCTAAAACCCTCACTGAGCTAACAACTTTGGTCACTCAAGGCCTTCAGCTATTAGCGTCATTTGCTAGTCGGGTAGTAGCCCAATAGCAAATAGCTTAATAGTTTTAACATCTAAATTTAACAAATCTGTAACATTTTCTTTCCAGAGACCAGAAATAATAATTTCATTTATATTCTTAAATTCGAATATACATTATATTGTAATCGCCAAGCAGGCATTAATTGTAGAAGTGTGAAATTAATCCTTACAGTTCGATTTCGTTGACCTAATACCCTGTGCCAAAAGGGTTAATTCTTAAGTGTGGCACAGGTAATTGCCAACCAACCAAGAAAGTGAATTTACAAGGAGGGATCCTCCTCTAAGGTTTACTTCTGCAATTCCTCGGAGGACGGACGCCGGGACGGCAGATCTCCATGATTGTTTGAACACAACCTGGCGTCAAATTGGCGTCAGTCCACAGTGTCATCAGCAGCGCTAAAAGGATCTGTCCTTATGTTGTTGAAGTTTGGTTATTCAATAAATTCATAATAAATAATAATAAAGGTAGACTATACTGTTGAAATATCTGAGATGTGTGGTTTATATAAACTGCAAAGGTAAAGTATAAATTAAAATGATTGTGACCGATGTGAAGGGGGAGGAGAATTGACACGTGCGTCACGTTTAGTCAGTATAACAGTTCCGCGACGCGTAGGATGCACCTGTGTATCCTCGCTTATGACTCCTCAGGAAGCCTCCTCACTCCTCGATCCTCGACTCCTCATGGTGCAATTAGAGAATTGAGATGTCCTTCAAGATGGCTGAGCTCGATCGGTTTCTGGGTCATAGGAGGGAGGACGGAGGAGCGAGGAGACGAGGAGGGATATTGAGAAGCACCCTAGGTTTTTAAGAATATAGAAATATCTTGCACACAAAAGGGTGTGTCTTTGAGTTAATCACCTTCTACCTTTTGTCTGAATGCAAACTCTCCTTCCCCCAGTAAGCATGGTGGGGGGATTCAGTCCATTGTAGTTTGGTGATTGGATCAGGTCAATTTGGTGATTAGATCAGGTAAGGTTTGGCTCAATTTAAGGGAAATGCACAAGAGTTCAGGGCTGCTTTCTGTATTCAGATCAGCCTGTGATGATGTGTCTTCAAGGCTCAGCTCATGTAATATGTTGGGTAAAGTTCCTTTGTCCTAAAACAATTGATGGTTTGCTCTGATTATTTTGTGGAACTGTAATAATACATTTACCTGACATAATAAATTGTTATACTTGACTATTCTAACAGACTTTGACTTTATTTTCATTAGAGTTAAAAGGAATAGTCGAACATTAATGTATTAAATGATGCACAGATATCTTTGATAAACCCTTTTCATTTTATGGAGTCAGATGAAACGAGTTAATACATATTAAGATTAAATGTGTTGCATTTAATTAAAATTCACTTTGCTTGGAAAAGACGGAACACGCTTGAAACCTTCACCACGAATCGAACCCCACCATTTGGACCGATTTCGTGCCCCCTTTTTACACTTACATTGTTGTTTTTTCTTTAATATAAGTCACATATTTTGCCAAGAAAATCATAAAAAAGAGGCCTGTCTGTTTAGAAAACCATTTATTTACCACATTAGAAAAAAGCAGAAATCCAATAGATATCTTCATAGCAAGACAATTTAATGTGATGATAGTAATCAAAACTGTAAAAAGCACTTGTTTGACACCTAATTGAAAAGAATAATGTTCCGCACTATTTGTGACGGTTCAGCCTTTGGCATGATGCACTAGGCCCCGGATCCTGCGCGTCAGGGCTTGGATGAAGGTGTGACGGGAACGGGTTTTACTATACAGACCCTCGACCTCCAGCAACTTCCTCTGGAGCGGCTCACTGAAGCTGTTCGCTACATCACTCTGTAACTACAAAACAATACCAAGCAGACATTTGTCTCTTATCCTCACCAAGGCATCATTGTGGAATATTTACAATTTAAAATAACTTTTCTAATTCAATATATTTTTAAATGCAACATTCCTGTGATTGTGAAGATGAATTTTCAGCATCATTACTCAGATCCTTCAGAAAATATTCTAATATGCTGAATTGCTGCTTAACTTCTGCAGGGAACCTGTGGCTCAACAACAAAAATATACGCACATCCGGGAACTTTACTGTCTAGACTCCCCATAGACTTCAATACAAAATAACTGCAAAAACCAACGTCCGTACACAGCCGACAGGCGTAAATAACTTAATAAATCACTTATATAAAACATGTCAAGTAATTATATGTCCACCTTCCTGCCATAGAGCGTGAAAGATAATTTTTTTTATGCCCGTAATCAACTAGCCCAGGCTACCTGCCATCATCATCATAAATTCATAATATATACATTAAGGTTTTTTACTTTAAAAAATGAAATAAAATCATTCAGGGGCTTACCTGGGGCCTGTTTCAGAAAGGAGGTTAAGTGAAAACTCTGAGTATGTTAACCCTGAAATGAGGGAAACTCTGGGTTTTCCGTTTCAGAAAGGGGGGTATATCAAACCCAAGAAAGCAGAGTAAGTCAAGCCTGTTTCTGAAAGAGAGGTAACTTATACTCAGAGTCAGTTACCATGGTAACTTACTCTGTGAACCTAACCTGGTCGGGAGCAGGTTTTCTTCAGTAAACCCAGAGTTTCTTGCGGTCTCCTCCCCTTTTTAAAGAGGAAGTGCTGTTTAAACACCAACAATAATACTAAAATGTATTTACACATTCTTTAAGCAATTATATTGTTTGTCCATGGTTTAATTGACTAAATCTGTTTTGCAGCATTTGCCAAAAAATAAAAGGATTAAAACATTTACTAAACTTTTATTTGATTACCACTGTTTTGGATAATATATTTCTATTAAATCATTGAAAAAATTGTAATAAAATTTTATAAGTTATTAATGATAAAAAATAAGATGTCAATCATAATTAAATCAATTATTGAAGTTAGTTGATATTATGTTTTATTGAACAAATGTTTAATTTATTTAACTGTCATTTTAACTGATGATAATAATAACCGTAATTTAATAATGCAGTTTATATATTTAATAATTGTTTAATACCATAAACCGTGATATTTTCTGAGACGGTTCTCATACTGTGAAAGTTTCATACGTTACAACCCCACATGGGGGAGTCCCCCACCCCACCCCCGCTGTTAAACAAGTTACTCAGCAACTTTTACTCATGTTTTAAATTAACTACTTTTTACTTGAGTAGATTTTTAGACTGGTATTTTTACTTTTACTTAAGTAAAAATGTATCAAAGTAATAGTAGACTACTTTAGGTTGAATAACATTCTTCCAGTTTCACCTCTTGATATTATAACAGTTACTCTAAAGTTATTAATTATTAACTACAAATGACATCTTCAACGGTGTAGTTAGATTAATGTAATAATTACTATCTCTAGAAAGTATTGGTCTACATATAGGCTACTAATTGCTAAATCCCATAGACAACCTCAACCACTTGAACAATACAAGGAGGAGAGACAAGAAACTGCACTTTTAATTCTTTCAAATTAACAATATAAAATTGCATGAATTATTCTTGAATTGATCAAAGTGTGTAGAGGGAGAAGGTTACATAAAAATTGTACCTTTTAAAAATGTATGTTAAATCCACTATTGTTTTATACGGAATTGGTCTATAGTTTATGCAAATGTAATTGCATCATATTTTATTTTAAATTACAGAAGAATTAAGAGTAATCCCTTTAATTAAATTACAATATTTAGATACTTGGTAATTAATTACACCCAACACCTCTTTTTGTCTGGCGCTGTTGCCATGGTGACTCATAATATCTGCGCTCCATTGATAATGGCTTTTTATAGTTGTGGTGCACGCGCTTAACTCAGAGTCAGACAACTCAGAGTTGATTGATCTAACTCATTTCAGCTGTTCTGTAACCCAAAACTCAGAGTTTCCCATCTCAGGGTAAGTCAACTCTGAGTTCAAGTTTTAATTCAGAGTTGGTTGAACCTCCTTATTGAAACGGGCCCCTGGTGACTCGATGAGGTACAAATAAATGTCCGGGTAAGACACCTCTGGCCACTGGGTGGGGTTGTTACACCAATTTGACGCTGGGAGAATAAAGGGACGTGTTTTTTAAATTGGCCAAATTAAGTTTGTGTATGTATCTTTCACGCTCTATGGCTGGCAGGGTGGACATGTAATTACTTGACATGTTTTATATAAGTAATTTCTTAAGTTATTTACGCCTATCGGCTGTGTACGGACGTTGTTTTTTGCTGTTATTTTGTATTGAAGTCTATGGGGAGTCTAGTTTGTTTTCCCCCAAAAGTGGGCGTGAACCTATTCAGAGACATTCTATGATGCAGCGCCGGTTGTGCGTATATGGCTCGCCAGTTTGCACCCTTCACCAACATTATGATCATTTAAAACTTAGATCACATGACTCCTGCAAAGTACCTGTTCAATATCTTGCTGGCTCACTCTTGACACACTCAAACCTCTGCTGGCACTAGGATCTACACAGAAAGAAATATTGGTCAGAAATGTAATAAACAAGTCTTTCATGCAGTTAAAAAACAACCTAAAACTGAACTTTGAAGAAGGATAGTTAACAGGACAGGACAGCTGACCTCTGTAACCTGGCAGAAGCGAGTCTTTGGGGTCCGTGGGAGTGCAGTAGAGCAAGTAGAACTCTAGGTGGCGCCAAATCACAAACAGGCACGTCTCGATGATGTCTTCAGAGAAATGTCAAGAAAAACA